TCTTTTTCTTACTTTTTTTTTTTTTTTTTTTAAATTAATAATTTTTTGATGAAAATATATGAAATATGATGGATAATGCTAACAGTAAATTTCACCAAAATAGCGGGCAGCTTTAGCGCTGATGGGAAAAGTTCTTTCCTACTCCCATACCCTATTCTCTTCGCTATATATCGTGATTTATTCGCATGATTATTTATAATGATGTGATTCCTTGCATCAAACAGTTGTTACACAATGTTAAATGATCCTTTCCTTCTGTGCTGCTTTACTTCTTCTTGTCTATTTTGTAAAAATTTTTCTTTTTTTTTTTCTTTTTTTTTTTTAAACCAATATGCTAGATTTTCATAATTTTTAAATTAGTGATAATTTATAAAATAAACTTATAATTAATAGTCATCTTTTAGTAGTATACTTAACCTATCCCTTTTGTAAACTATAATAACAATGATAAAGCTACACAAATTATTTGTGGAGTTATAAGCATAATTGTTGATATTATAATTAATTTAAAAAAAAAAGAAAGGAAAAACCTCATTCCATGGATTTTTTTTTTTTAAGCTATTAAAATGAACATAATTACTGATTAAAACATGCGTTTTATATACTTCCTGCGAGAAATAAACTTTAACAATGAATGGAGACATTCTCGACAACTTTTTTTTTCCTTTTTGAACAATTAACAACTAACAGTTTGTAATAATTAGCAAAATCACCTACCCTCATATTTCGTATTGCTTTGAAAACTGAAGACTTAAGACCATCTGGACTTCGTAATCTTCCAGAATTTGACATCTTGTGCATTTTTCAAAGTAATTACATGCAACTATCTGTAAATATAAGTTGTTCAATCTTTTTGAGCGTAATGATTTAATTCCATTCAAAACGCCTCGTAATGAATTAATTAATTCCAATTCGAAATAGCTAATTATTGGTTTTTGATTCGATAGATGTATGTTGTTTGAATAATCAATTAAGTAATTAATGAATTTTATATACTCCAGAAATATCAACTAAATTATATTCATGTGCTTATCAATTTTCCAATAATATGAGATTTATAAAAGCGACAAAATTATTGTTTTACAACTGAGTATAAATTAATTTGAAATATACCGTTAAAGTACAAGATGTAAATGGTGGGTAGGCAACGACATCATGAAAATTATCAAGGACATCGTTTTCACATCGATCTAAATGTGATATCCCGCTGGGATATTGGTTAACAGCATTACAAATTCGTGATGTATTCATTCCATGTTTGAAAATTTTGGATGACATGAAGTGACGAAAAATGACAGCAATGCAATGTCGCGGTAACGATTGTATATATATGTATAGAAACTGTTGGGTATGGTCATTTTGAAATTTAGAATTTAAAGATGTGAAATAACCTTCGATTAGCTTAAATTAATGAAACTTACTTAATGAGGCTTAATTTAATGGAACTGTTACCTTACTATAAACAATAATAAAATTCAGTTTCGCTAAATCTTATTTAAAGAATCCTGCTTACCCTTCCTCTTCAAAATAAAAAAAGAAAATGAATAGCTCATTTGATAAGATAAATTTGATCAGGAATATTAAGTGGTGAAAGAATGTATAAATGAACTTATATTTAAAGATACTGATTCCGAAAAAAAAAGTTAGTAGTAGCAGATGATAACAATTAAAATATTATGACATCCTGTAAAGATAACGTAATTATCCTTAATTATTTTATGCTAATTGTTAATGAAATGAAGGATATGGTGCATTTGTAACTCTAATAAAATAAGATTTGAATTATAATGATTTGTGATAGTGTTAGTAGTAGCAGTACCAGTAGTAATAGTAGTAATAGTAATAGAAGCATTTAGTAGGAATGATAGCAGAATTAGTAATAGTAATAGTTGAAAGTCCAGATTTGGGGATGAATGATTGTTAGTAATGATGATCTTGTGTTGATCTCAGTTCAATCTTTTTTTTTCTTTTTTTTTCGATTCATCCTGGTGGCGCCTTTCGTCCACCATAGACATATCTCATTTTCAGCAAAAACTTAATGATTTTAAGATAAATCATTATCACTTTCCATATCTTAGCAACATCAATGAAAATTGGTTCGTTGTAAATTGCGGAAGCATTTGCAAATTTTTGAAGAAGCAACAGGTATATATATATATATATATATATATATATATATATATATATATATATATATATATATATATATATATATATATATATATATAT